AGTAACAGTGCGTAAATAATGAAGACGAGAAGGATGGATAAGAAAACACGTTCAGAGTAACCGCAGACTGTAAGCTGATGTTCAACAATAGCTCCCGCTGATTTGGTACTGAGTTCAAGCTCGGCCTTCTGATTCAGTGACCTGCAATTTCCAACTATTACTGCAGAAGAAGATTCTATTAACATTTGAAAAAAAATAGATAATCGCACTCGTTCTCCGAACTTTTCAGAGACACACTCAAAATCACCTTTGTGATGCGTTTATTGCTAAACATGCATTCAACTCAAAAATGATCTGTTGATTCCTTAAAAGTTTAGTTGGTCAATGACTCACTTTTCTGTATTTCCAGGTTCGAAAAAAAAGAGTAGCCGGAAACTGACAAAGCAATTTTTTGTGTAATTGTGTGTTTAGAATAGTCTGACTAACTTATCTGTCTATTGGCCTTTGGCCTGGTTTCATGCTTATTGCGCAGTTTGACTATCTAGCGATTTTATTTATCTCACTACATCTGCAGAAATGATGTCGCTAAGGCAAGACATATAAATACGAGAAAATACATTTGATTTTAGTTTTATTTGCTTCTGATTCTAGTCCGAAATTCAGTGAAGGAAAGCGGCTAATATTACGATTTTGCTTCAGAACACACCGAGGATCTCGGTTTCGAAAATCTGATAAAATGCATGTAAATTCTGGGCCGCTGCTTTCATTGTACTAGGATTATTGTCTCAGTTCCTCCATTCAGTTTCAAAATAAAAGCTGAAGACGTTAAGCTAGGATGGGCAAGAAATTACAGCCTCTGATAAATCTGAGTCTAAACTGTAAGGTTTCCTTACCAAAGTGAGAAGTCAATGAATTTAAATCCTTTTTTGAGTAAAAACTTCTGTGATGCTTGTGCAAATGCCGAAGTGTTAAAAAATGTGTCTCCTAGAACTCCTTTTGCCCATACGCATTGGTGATTAGGAATAAATGCGATTGATACGTCAGTGGCAACGAGGATTTCAAGTAGGTGGAGCGCATTTCCTTGTGTATGTCAATACCTTAGCCGCGCTCATTAAAAGTTAGCGAAAGAAAAGCCAGGACTAGCTACAAAAAGCCCGGGCTTTTGAAAAGTAGCCCGAATGGTAGCTAAGCAGAAACCACCCGCTGGCAAGGCTGCCGATCAACGAATCTGGGAGGAACTGGGGTCCATCGAGGAATCTTAGTGTCGATTTGTTATTCGCAAGATACTGCGCCACACTCGTCGTCTGTAGAGTTATCACTGTCGCGAAAGCATGTAACTAAGTGTCATTCGTGAGCTTATTAAAGTAGCATCGCGCGAGTTACAATGCTATGTAAGATATAAAGACCACCCACCAAATGTACCCGTGCATCCATATTGGACTGAACAGGAAATCGAATGTTTGACAGCTAAAAAATGATGCGAAACTGAGTCGCAGGAAAAAGTCAACTCGCTGTCGGATGACAGCTTCCTTTTCAGCAACTTCTTCTGATGGCAAGAAATACGAAAAAAGCATCTGCAACAGATTATCATTATAAATAAAACATCTCTTACCAATAAGGAAGCTAATAATCCGCGAGTGGTAGTCGCTTTCCCTTTTCTAACAGCAAAGTATGCTAGCCCTGCAGATTCAAGCGAGAAAGTTGCTTAAATAGAGTGAAATTTCCAGATTCTATTGAAAAGTGACAATTTTAGCTAATAACAAGGCTGAATGCAGGAAACGGAATAGAAAAATGGAGACAAGTTTGATTAAGAGGTAGTTGAATTCAGGGTTTAATTGACAAAAGAATAAAAATAGGAAGAGTGAGGCTATTTAGAAATTTCAAAATTTGTTACATCCGCAAATATGGACT